AGGCCCAGGTAGCAGCCACTGCCAAAGCGGCCTTTTACCATCTTCGGCTGGTGCGGCAGTTGGTCCCCTTTCTCAGCCGCGAAGACCTAGCCACAGTGATCCACGCGACGGTCACCTCAAGGCTAGACTACTGCTACGCTCTCTACATGGGGCTGCCTTTGTCGCTGATTCGGAGGCTGCAGCTAGTTCAGAATGCGGCGGCCAGGCTGGTTGCTGGTGTCTCGAAATGGGATCACATCCAGCCTGTGCTCAAAGCGCTGCACTGGCTGCCTATAGCATACCGGATTCGCTTCAAAGTGCTGGTCGTTACCTTTAAAGCCCTACATGGCCAGGGTCCATCCTTCTCGATGGCGGCTCCTATCTGGTGGAACGAGCTCCCGGAAGAGATCAGGGCCCTGCGGGACCTGATGCAGTTCCGCAGGGCCTGCAAGACGGAGCTCTTCCGCCAGGCTTTCGAATAGGAGCCGCCGCCGCTACCACTACCACCAACGAGGACCATTTCTACAGCACTGCCGGAGGTTAAGTGGCTAATAATATCAGGGGGCCACAGTAACCTCCCCTTGAATGGATAGGGTTGTGCAATACTGGAGAGAGGGTTGTCTAGTCACGCGGGATCCTTGGGTGTTCCCATGTATGAATTGTTTTAAATTGTGTTTTATTGTATTTTATTGCACTTTTGTGCCTTACGGTTGTAAGCCGCCCTGAGCCCGCACGCGGGGAGGGCGGGGTATAAATGAAATTAAATAAATTTTAAAAAATTAAAAAAATACTGAACACTCCTGAATTTTTAAACATTTTAAAAAGAATTTTGTTGAAGAGGTTCTGGAACTTTGTTCTGGCGCATTCCCCCAGGGAAAAAAAACACCCCTGATTATTTATATTAGTATAACTGTTTTAGTAGTTTAGTAAAATTGTTGTCTGTGACCCGCCTTGAACCCACTTGCAAGGAGGGTGGGATATAAATCGAAATAAAATAAATGAATGAGTGAAGCAAGCCTTCCATGGATGCAGCTGCAGTTTCTACACCGTTGGTGGTTGCTGTGATCATGGTGCGACATTCTGCAGTCATGGTAGTCTCAGGAACCACCCCCCAAAAGCTATGGTTGTACCCATGCAGAACCCAATCTACATGTCATAATGAATATATTCTGAATATAAATAGGATAGGGCATACCTTATCTTTGAGACAGCATCAGTGTTCTGATGCTGCTCACTAGACACATAAAGCCTTGTACTTTCTGAAGTATGGAAACTTCTGTCATAGAGTTGGAAAGGTCCTAACAGGTCAACTAGTCCCAGCCCCTGCTCAGTGTCGGAAAGCTAAAGTGTGGTGTATTCAATCTGACCCATGTGTGTATGAGAAACACTGTCATTGAATCACCATGTGAAGCTTCATTCCTGGGCTAGGATCCAAATCCCTCAAATGTAATTGGTAGCCCAGGAAGAGCCGACCAATCACAAACAGCCAGTTCCAGAAGCAGGAACTAATGTGATTGGACCTTAACTCTACAACCTCATAGGTTGATATTGTACAATAGGGCGTGGCTACATTAGCCGGGAGGGTTTAAAAGTGGAACAGCTTCAATGCTAAAGCTGTTCTTGCTATTCATGTTGATCTATTTGGAGTTGAGTTATGATTTGCTGAATAAAGCTGATCTTTTGCTGAAATCACTCTCTGACTCTTTGTTAAGTAACATAAAGCATTCATAACAAGTGGGTGTCCAGCCTCTGCTTGATGACATCTGTCTAGAAGCTACTCACTTCAAACTGATATAAAGCAGCAGAACAATAATCAATTAACATCATTGCTGTTTTAATAATACTTAACAGTCTTTCCAGTGCTTACCAAACCCGTTTGGCTATTATTATCATCCCCTCATTGCAGCTGGGTGGCCACAATCCTAAGAACACTTTCCCTGGAGTAAGCCCCCATTGAATAAATTTGGACTTATTCTGAGTAGACCTTTGGCTTGTTCCCTTAGCAAGTTCAAGGCAAAGTGACATTTGGACTGAGAAACTTCTTCATTCATAGCTCCCATCTCTTAACTCCAGTGCTACACCAGATATTTTTTACTCCTAAAAACATGTCAAAGAGTAAAACAACAACTGAATTGAGAGTTTATCCAGGGGTGTGCTTTGTTGCTCTTTTCTAATCCAGACATTTAACTCATCAGTATCTCTCCTAAAATCTTTGATAGTGTACTAATATATACATTGTATATATAAATCAATATTGATACTACTCTATATCATTCCAGTCTTGTTCCATCTGTACTGGATTCCAGTTTACTTCTGGGCCCCCTACAGTTTGGGGCAGCATACCTTAAGGACCACATTCTCCCATATGAACCTACCTGTCACTAGGGTTGCCTGGCAAGCAGCAGGGGATGGGATGTACATACCAGGAGAAGATGGGAGGCCCATCCAACATACAGTGATGTGTCCATGTCATTGCCTACATGACCTGGAAGTGTTGTCAAGTCCAGGATGTCAGGGCAATGCTCTGATATTTGGGCTAAAACTCTATGGAAATTTGGCTTCTACCATAGAGTTTTTGCCCAAATACCAGAGCATCACCCCAACTACCCAGATCTGATTGGGTCACATGGGCAGTGGTGTAGATATGTCACTGCACGTTGGATGGATCACCCTCTTTTTCAGGATAAGTCCCTCCCCTGCCAGCCAGCTGATCAATGATGGTGAGGTGGGGCCTGGCAGTGGGAGACCTCCGCCTCCATGGGGGGGGGGTGTCCGGCAACCCTACCGTCTATTTGGTTTTCTTTGGAGGCCTTGCTTTGGGTGCCCCTGCCATCTGAAGCTAGGTGGGTGGCTGCCCGAGAAAGGGCCTTCTTGGTAGTGGCAGCAAAATTTTGGAGCTCCCTCCCCAGGGAAATTTGTCTGTCTCCCTCTGCCATTGTCTTCTGCCAACAGATGAAGACATTTTTGTTTTGTTTGTTTGGCGTACCTCACTAAACTCTTATTGCCCCCAACCCCAGTTGTGTTGTGCTTCTATGTTTTATTGTATTGTCAAATATTTTACATATACATTTTAAATGTAGTTTAAATGTTTAATGCTTTAATGCCTTGATGTTTGCTGTGTTGGGGACTCTATTTGTGTGGTAAGGCAGCACAGAAATAAATAAAAAATAATTTACACAAACTTTTTCTGAATGCTCTCTTTGCAACATAATGGCCTCCCAGTTCCATCACCAAGTGGAATGTCAAAAGCGGTCATTTCAGTTTGTTTTTATGGTGTCCCTCAGCATGTCAATACGTTGGCTTTTTCATTAGCCTTTCATCTCTCTTCCCAGCAATGAACTTATCCTTTGTTAACAAGGAAAACTTTCAGCCTGTTTGCCAACATTTTCAGGGAGGCCTTTCTCTAGAATTACTTCAGGTTCCCTATTCCCACATGCTGTCATTACTGTGAAATCTGTTCAGACAAATCTCCCAGCAGTGTTATTATTTTAACACTTTCCCCTCACTGTATAGTATTTGGCAATAAACTGAGCACGGCAGTGTTAATCTTATCAAGCTGTAACATATTCTCTGGCTATATACTGCAGGACTTTTCTGTTCTTACAAAAATGAGCGTGTACCAGTCTCTCTTTCCTTATCCTCCCTGCTAGAGGAAGGGAGGGGGTGTCAAGTTACAGGTTCAGAACATATAGCAGAGAAAGTAATAACAGGCTGATCGATTTAAATTAAGCCTCCAATCATATGCGGATAGTCTTAAATGTATTCACATCACTGAATTTAGGCCACCTAAGACTGCACAGGATTGGCTGCATGTCTGTATACCTAAAAGAGGGGGAGGGAGGGAGGGAGGGGGAGGAAGGCAATGTTAAGCACATTTAATTCTATCAATTTCAGCAGAATAATTAGGCACATGTTTAAATATTTCTTAATGAATCCAATTGGACTGAAAAACACTTAAGTCTGGTTGTGCCAACGCTTGCAAATTTTTCAATAGCATATGTTGGAGTGGGTCCAAAGCTGCTCTTGTGCTGGTGTAGCAGCCCTTCTGCCAATAGAACAGAATGCCCGTGGGCAGAGCAGCAAACATTTCTTGCTGAGTTCTCCCTTCTACTGCGGACCCACTTCACACCCCACACTGCTTTGAGCGGTGGGGGTGTCCCCTGGTCCTCAGGAGCAGAACTGGTTGGCGATCAGGGGTTATAGCAGGAAGAGGGAGACATGAAAATTTTGTTCCATGAGCTTTGCTCCATTTGTGGTAATATCGTTCTAGTCCATTATTATGACTAAGAGAGAAATACTATTTATTCTCATATGAGATGCATTTCATTCACGACTGAATATCCTGAGCAATAATAAATTACAACCCCGAAGGTTTCCCCCCAGCTCTAAGGATTCCTGTTCTCAGAAGGTGACTGGAGAAATCCTTTCCATCATAGGATAGTAGTAGCCATGAGTTGCTAAGGAGAAAGCTGGATGTGTATGAGGGGCAAAGAAGCATGGAGTAAAGGAAAATATACATTCAAAGCAAGTGTTTTGTGGAAAGGGATTGAGAACAGGCAAAAGAGACCTACATGATTGTTCTCTCTCATCTAGCTGAGGTTCCCACCAACCAAAACTCCCTAGTAATGCATAGGGAGTCATATCAGGAACCTTAATACTCTGGATCGATGCCTATTTATTTATTTTACTGCATTTATACCTTTCCTTTCTCAAAAAGTCTCAGGGTGAATATCCAGCCTGAGGTGCTGTTATGGTGGTGACTCCGTAGGGTTTTCAAGGCAAGAGACATTCAGGGGTGGTTTGCCATTGCCTGCCTCTGCGCCATGACCCTGGAATTCCTTGGAGGTCTCCTATCCAAATTGTCGTCAGGGCTGACCCTGCTTAGTTTCTGAGATCTGACAAGATCAGGCTAGCCTGGGCCTGTTGTAAAGCAAGATTTCTCCTATTAAACCACACACACACACACACATTTTTTTAAACACAGTTTTATTCAAAACTAAAGTATATTTTACAGACTGCCATCCTTTTTTGTAATATAAAATGCTTTGAGAGGAAGAAAAAATAGTTGTTTTACAGCAAATTTCACTTGTGGTTTTAACGTGTACTACCGATGGTTGCTTATTTGGAAGAAAAGCCGTATGGCATCTTTTACCATAGTGGTAAAGAAATCTGCTGCTATAGATATAGTTCAGCATGTAGATGCAGACATCCCGTTTGTGATTTAAAACATCACTGCTTGCCTTAGGTATTATAAATCTGGAGTACAGAATTGCACCCGTGGTGGCAACCTTGTGCTACTTCAACAGCTCTTGCTGCAGAGGCTAGTAATAGCATTGCAAGGAAGTAAGGCAACATGCTGGTATAATAGTGCCAGTTGTAGATAATCTTAGGTTGGGTCTAAATTCAGTAGCACCAGTTCTACAATCCATTGCCATGATGGTCTTCTTCACCCATTCAGATCCAGCCTGCAGTGGCATGGTTCCATCAATGCACCATCAAGGGCCAGAGCATTGGCATTGTGTTCATTGTGCTGCTCCAAGCAGTTGATTGGGTGGGTTGGAGAACCAGCCCTGAATGTGATGCGAGAGCCGATGCTGTTAGTTCCATAGACATATATGGTTTATCTTCTTGGAACCATTTTCTTTTTCCTTTCTTCTTCCCAGCCTTTTGACTTTCACTGGCACCTTTGTGGGGCAATGAACTTTACAACCTAGCACTTATTACGTGCTTATTTCTGTACCCTGTCCTTTGCATTAAATAATTACCAGCTATTGAACAGGCACAAATAAGTTTTCAGAAACTGGTAATTAGAGAAAGGGCTAATATCATAGCACATATTAAGAAACATCCAAATGATACAGTGTGCAATTGTGTGTACTTCGGTGTCTGGCCCATGGGTACAAGTCACAATTTCCAGCTACACAGATGCATTATGTGCAGAAACCGCCTAGCCAACTTCTGTTTACTTAGCCTTGGTTTCTGATGTCTCCGTTTCAAGATCAAGGTCTTCTTGACAACAACAGGACAGCATCTGAATATACTTGGTAATGGTAGCTACAAAATAATAGAAACGAAACAGAGATTACATTATGAAAATGAGAACTTCTTTTAGGGCACTTCTATGTAATGCGCTAAAGGATTCATTATCATGGCAATACAACTTCTGTTTATTAGAGTGGCTTGGTTATTGCAAGGAGCACTTGAATAATGAGACTTGGCATTTTGAATTTTGACAGTATTGGGAATTTCATAGGGTGTATACATACATACATACAAATATACACACACACACACAAGTAGGGGGACCTGTGATACTCACTGGGGGGGGGGGATATTCCCCACAGCTCTCGGCCTGCAGAAGCAGGAGGAACTCCGCAGGAGAAGGAAGCAGCAGCAGGTGAGCCCAATCAGGCCCGCCAATCTCCGCCCCCCCCCCCCGGCAGTGGCGGCGAGGCCTGAGGCCCACCAAGCCTTCTCCCCGCTCCTCCCCCCTTCCCCAACACCAGCAGCAGCGAGGCCCAACAAGCCTTCTCCCTCCTCCCCTTCTTCCCCTGGCACCGGCGGCGGTGAGGCCTGAGGCCTTCCAAGCCTTCTCCCCTCCTCAGCGGCAGTGGCAGTGAGACAGTTGCCAGGGCGTTCTCTATGCATGCACAGGGAACGGTCTTTCACTTTTGGGGGGGATTTAAGTATCCCTCGTATAGATTTTTCAACTTTTTAGATTTTTCTGTATACCTGGGGACTGCTCCAAGTGTGCAGGAAAATCTCTCTGCCCCCTAAGTGCCCTGATGTGTGGATTTAGATATCCGCACAGAGGGGGCAACTTGGCTATTTTTTTATATACAAGTGGAGACCCGCAAGAAACTTGCGGGATGGTTATCTCATTCGTCACACCTTTGCTTCCTCTCCTCACCTCCTACCTCTCTCACAGTATTTCTCCCCTCTGCCCCCCTTTTCTTACTCTCTATTTCTCCTCTATGCATGTGACTTCCTCTCTCTTTCTGACCTATCATCTTTCTCTTTGTTTTTCTGCCTCCCCACTTCATCACTCACTTTCTCTCTTTCTGCACCTGCCTGCTTCCTCCTCCACTCTGCAGAGCAGCAGCAGTGGTGGTAGTGCTCCTCGCCACCCACCTGCTTCCTCTCCCCCCACAGCAGCAGTGGCAGTGGTCTGGGAATCACAACGGATCTCCCAGCTACAGAGATCAATTCACCTTAGGCCTGCCAGCTCCAGGTTGGGAAATTCCTGGAGATTTGGGGGTGGAGCCTTGGGACAGTGAGGCTTGGGGTGGCAAGCAGCCTCAGCAAGGTATGATGAAGAAGAAGAAGAGAAGAGATTGGATTTATACCCCGCCCTTCACTTGGAGTCTCAGAGCGGCTTACAAACTCCTTTCCCTTCCCCTCCCCACAACAGACACCCTGTGAGGTGGGTGGGGCTGAGAGAACTCTGACACAAACTGCTCTTTTTCAAGGACAGCTGTGCCAGAGCTTGTGACTGACCCAAGGTCACATCAGCAGGTGCAAGTGGAGGAATGGGGAATCAAACCCGGTTCTCCCAGATTAGAGTCTGTGCACTTAACCACTACACCAAACTGGCTCTATGATGCCATAGACTCAACCCTCCAAAAGAGCCATTTT